GGCCAAGGAACGGGCTGTAGTGTGGAAGCCGCCTAGTACGTATAGTAATGTTTGCGCTAATATCTCTTCATGCGTTAAACCTGAGGTATTTTTTGATTTTGTACGATGGTATTGTAGATTATTTGTGTATTGTATTTGTGTATCATATTTGTGTATTGTATTTGTGTATTGTATTTGTGTATTGTATTGTTTTGTATTTTTGGGGTATTTTTTCAATTTTGTAAATGGTGTTTGTGTTGTGATGCAATGATGGATATTGAATATGTGCTGTTGTCGGTTTATTCAATTGTTTCTTCATTCAGTCGTTCGTTCGTTTTGAAATTCAGCCTTTCGGTGGCCATTCATTCATTCTTTCTTTCTTTCGTTTGTTCGTTCGTTTGTTCGTTCGTTCGTTCGTTCGTTCATTCATTCATTCATTCATTCATTCATTCATTCATTCATTCATTCATTCATTCATTCATTCAACCTTTCCTATCTTCACCCTCCCTGCCAAGTTTAACATCTTCAATGTTATCCAGATGTGCCTGCACCATTGCTTGCAAAAAATCTGGACGCTCCTGTGAACAACAACAACAAAAACAACAACAACAACAATAATAATAATAATACCAACGTTGCTATCGAAACCTCAAAACCAAATTTTAAAAAATTTCCTCAACTAACAACACATCCTTTCAATCTTTCTTCAAAGAGCTGGTTGAAGGCACTCTTGAAGGTCTCGAGAAATCCTGGCGGGAACATCGAGAAGCCAAGAAGTTCAAAAAATGGCGACACAAATGGAAAGGTATCTATGGTTTGACATCCTCATTATCATTATTATCATCATCAGTATCGTTATCGTCATCACCATCAGCATCATCATCGTCATCATCATCGTCGTCATTTTAGGAATAATTGTCAACAATAACATTCTCGTCATCTCATCTAGTCTCTCTCCAATCAACAAAAACTATTCCAAAAACACCATCATCATCATCATCGTTGTACTCATCTCATCATCAACAACAGGGAGAAATTAAAGAGGGAGGGAGAGAGAAGAGAGAGAGAGAGAGAGTGAGAAAAAAATAAAAGGAAAGAAAACCAAATTCACTAATGGCTATTAGAATAGATAGATTAATTCTATAGAAATTAATGTTAAATGGCTGCTTCAAAATCCTACAGAAAATACACATGACGCTCACATTCAGACTCTCTGTCTCTCTCTCTTTCTCTCTCTCTCTCTCACACATATTCACACACACAGAGACACACAAACACACACAGGCATAAACAGACACAGAGACACACAAACACACACTAACAACAGATAGACGGAATAATTCCACTGAAATTAATGTTAAATGGTTGTTTCAATGCTGCCAAAAAGACGTTATCATCATCATTGTAGGAGTCAACATCCAAGCCCAGGGCTGAGCCGCACGTGAAGTCTAGAGAAAACGCGTTACATAATCTGAATGAATGAATGAAAGAGTGAATGAATGAATGAATAAATGAATGAATGAACGATTGAAAAAGTTTAAAGAATAGCCAGTACATAAACTATTATTTTGATAGATAAGCGAGTGAATGAATGGATGGACCAATAGAAAAGTGAACGAGTGAATGGGCGATTGAATAAATGAATGAATGAAAAAATTAATGAAAGAATGAATAAATTAATTAATAAACAAATGAATTAATTAATTAATTACTGTTGCACATCTACATAGTTCTGATTGAGTGACAACGTATCGAGATTTTCGATGAAAGTTTTCAGACACTTTCTAGCAAGTGGGAAGTTCTTTACAAGAAATAAATATAACACTTATATTTAATTATTGAAAATAATAATAATTATTATTATTATTAATTATTATTTTATAAAATACTAACTATAATTAAGGATATAACAATATCAAAATAGCGAACCTACAACAACAACAACAACGACAACAACAACAACGACAACAACAACAACGACGACGACAACAACAAAAGCAAAAACATAAACAACAACATAAAAGACAACAACAGTTTTGTTTACATTTTTAAGTTTAGAGCTAGTAAAAAATGGCGTCAACAGACTTCTCATTCTCTTCCATTCAAGACCTTCTATATCGTTCAAGGAATGCCTCATCCAGTGACGTAATATTAATCTCTAATGATGGATGGATGGATGGATAGAAAAATGAATGAACGAACGAATGAACGGGCAGTTGAATAGATACGTAAGTGAGTGAGATGACAAATAAAGGATAGATGAATGGATATATGGATTAATGAATACATAGAGAAAGGATGGACCGAAGAACTGAATGACTGAATAAAAAATAAATGAATGAATGAATAAATGAATGAATGAACGAACGAATGAACGAATGAACGAATGAATGAAGGAACGAACGAATGAACAAACGAATGAATGAATGAATGAAAATAGTCTTACCCTTCTGCCGGAGCAAGCTTTCGGTAAATTGAAATAAACCTCCTTGAGTAGTTCAACGTCCTTCGTTATTATAACCGGCCTGTCGAACTCAACCACTCTGTAACGACGATAATTGTGGGGATAGTGATGATAATGATGACAATGGTGATGATGGTGATGACGTAGATGGTAAATAATATCAATAATAATAATAATTGTAATAATTAAAATTTAAAAAAAATCAGTTAAATTGATGTGAACCCGACTCTAGGTCCGTATTTGGAAAGCATCTTCAAATCGTAATCTCCCATTACCTTATAGAATAATAATAATAATAATAATAAAATAAAAATAATAATAAAAACAGAAAACAAACTTCGCCCTCCAGTAACAATAAGACGTGCCCTATCAAATATTTACCCCGTTTGGCTGTTGGGATGCCCTTGTATGTTGACAGCGTAATGAAGGGTTTTTTGGAGTATCTGAATGAATGGATGAATGATTGAATGAATGAATTAATTAATGGATGAATGAATGAATGAACGAACGAACGAACGAACGAACGAACGAATGAATGAATATAAAAAATGTGATTCAGCTATACCTCCATAGCCATGTTAAAAACAGCGAAAAGCAAACGCCACCAATAATATAGGTAAACATTTTCCAATTTATTTCATGAATTTATTATTATTTGTTTTTTTTTATTATTATTATTATTCATTAATATTATACACTAAAATATATTCTATTTGGGTAGATGTTATTATTAAAAAGATGAGTTATTTTCCTCTATAATTATCTTAAAGTCAAAATATAGGGGTTCATATATATATATATATATATATATATATATATATATATATATATAGTGCAATGTACAAACGATGACTTGATAGTTATTATACATATTTAAAAAGGCTTTTATCAGTAAAAATTTTTTTTATTTATCGTTAGGTATTTTTTTTATTTGGTTCAAGAATTAGAAACAATATTGCCAGACACACACACACACACACACACACACACACTCACTCACACACACACACACACACACACACACACACACACACACCACACACACACACATATATATATATATATATATATACATGCGAACCAACAAGAAGCAGACAATCAGACAGACAGTCAGACAGTGACAGACAAACAGAATGACAGACAGACAGACATACGTATATACACATACATACCGTCTCAAACACAGACTTGTAAACATAGATACACGCATACAATTATACACATACACACACACACACACATTTATATTATTTATTTTCTTTCTTAAATTTCGAATAATTACATCATTTTATAACGAATTTTATTTTGAAATATGGAAAAGAAAAGCTTATCGAAGCAAAACTATAGCATGAATGTGCCTGTCATATAAGCTGTGTAAATTTATTTATTAAACTTATTTAGACGAATTAAACAAAGAAATACCATTTAAAATAATTCTAGTAAGAAAAAAATGAAAGAAATATTTGTAAATAGTCAAATATCAATAGAATTGATAGATTGTACTCGCTACATTTAAACAATTAAGAAAAACGTTACTACTACTACTGCAGCTGCTTCTATTACTACTACTGCAGCTGTAATTACTACTACTACTGCTTCATCTGCTACTATTGCTATTGTTATTACCACTACTACAATTAGCTTCGTCAATCATGATCACATAATCTTCATCATCTCGCCATCATCATAATCATCACCCTGGTCATCATCAGCAGCAGCAGTGGCAGCAGCAGCAGCAGCATGGCAGTCATCATCATCAACATCACGCTCTTTTTTCCAGCCCTAGATGAATACTGTTATCCCAGAGTACCAGCAACGAGTACTTCTTTAATTTCAGAGGTACCTTATTGTATGTATTGTTGGTACATGTGTGTGTGTATGTGTGTGTGTGTATGTGTGTGTGTGTGTGAATGTGTGTATGTGCACTTACTTCAGTTTTATCTGTCGGAACAAATTTAAATCTTTTCATAGCTCCAACCATTGCCATCTTTATGGCCATTTGGGCAAGTCTCATTCCTTTGTGAATATTATTTTAAATTATGGATACCGTTTTTAAAAGTTTGACATCTTTCTCATTATCATCATCGTCGTCATCTTTTTCATCATCACCATTATCATCATCATCCTCCTCCTCTTCCTCCTCATCATCATTAACATCATCATCATTGACATCATCGTCAACATCACCAACAACCACTTCATCACCATTGTCGTCAACAGAATTTTACAAAAATCACCCAAACAAATCCTATGCCCCGCCCCAAAGGGCAGATGGTGGAGAGGGTTTCTATTGGCGCATGCTTCTGGGCTGAACCTTGAATAATAAAAATTAAATTATTATTATTATTGTTGTTGTTGTTATGTTTTTTATTTATACTATTAACGTTATAATTATTAAATCGTTATTATTATTAAATGAAACAGCAAATAAACACAAATAATTCAATTGAATGAATGAATGGTTTAGTTTGTTGAGTATGTGTAAAATTAGTTGACCTTTCGGGGTCAAATTTATCCGGGTCAGGGTAAATATTTGGGTCGTGGTGGATAGCCCAGACGGGAACAACGACGAGAGTACCTTCTCTAATGTGAAGACCATCATCAAGGACAATATCCTGCGTGGCGCGTCTGTCAAATCTTGATTGGTTGGTTGATTGATTGGTTTATGAGTTTGTTCAGTGGCTGATTTTGATTGGTTGGGGGCTTGCTCGTTAGCGGGTTGATTGGTTGAGTGAGTTTAGTTATTGGTTAGTTATTTGTTGAGTTAATTAGTTTATAAATAAATGAGTAGTAGACGAACAACAGACATGAATGTTAATTAAACATTTTGACAGCAAGAGAATCTTATCAGCGTTGAGGCTCATCGACGATGCTCTTTATTGAAAAAACACATTGCATTTCAGAAACAAACAGTCGGTCGGTCGAAACAGACAGACAAATAAAGCGAACAAAACTTCAATTCAGACCTAATGAACGCTGGATAACATCTGGTAGTTTCATTGATACACATCTCCATGTATTTCAACTTGCTCAAGTTATCATAGGTCAATTCCTATGTATATATGTGTGTGCAAGCAAATTCATGTCTGTATGAATGTATGTTAGTATGTATGTGCCTTTATATATATATATATATATATGTGTGTGTGTGTGTGTGTGTGTGTGTGTGTGTGTGTGTGTGTGTGTGTGTGTGTGTATGTACTACTAGTTACTAGTTCAGTTAACCTTATCTCCGATGACATCTAATATTTCTCGGTGCACTTTTTCTTGTACTTCCGGATGCAGAGCCAGGCAGTACATGGTAAGTACTAAGGAGCGTGAAGTTGTGTCATAACCACCCTGTACGAACATCAGCGTTTGTGCCAGTATCTCCTCATTAGTCAGTCCTTATAGAATCATTTTATTATTATAATATATTAATTTTATTATTATAATATATTCATTTTATTATTATAATATATTCATTTTATTATTATAATATATTCATTTTATTATTATAATATATTTATTATTATAATATATTCATTTTATTATTATAACATATTCATTTTATTATTATAATATATTTATTTTATTATTATAATACATTCATTTTATTATTATAATATAATTATTATATTATTAATAATAATATTATTTCGAAAACCTTTTCTACTCTCTCCTTCTCTTCCGAGAGATTTGTCTTCGATGTCGTCTAAATGTGCCCTTGCCATCGTTTCAATGAAATCGCGACGTCCCTTCATTGAAATAATCATATTTCTATGCTACTGCGACGACTGTTGCTACTGCAGCAGCTGCTGCTACTGCTGCTGCTACTACTATTTCTGCTGCTACTACTGCTACTACTCTTGCTGTTATTTTTTATACTGCTACAACTACAGCATGTAGAGTATTCAACACCAGACACACTAATACTAACTACATTTTGATAATGGGATACCAAAAATACAACGATACACGGATAAACGCAGTTCTAGAAATACCAACTGCTTAAACTTCAAAATACGTACACCAGTAAAATGGTACTACTGCTACTGCTACTACTACTACTACCACTACTGCTACTACTACTAATACTACTACTACTACTATTACTACTACTACTACTACTACTACTACTACTACTACTACTACTACTACTACTACTATTACTACTGCTACTACTACTACTACTAACACTTGGATTGTTAAGTCTTTCATTTAGCAACTGTTTCGTCATTGTTTCGAAGAATTTCAGATAACCCCTTGGGAACATATTGACGCCGAACAGCTCCAGCAGAGGCGTAACAAATGGGAATGTAACTGTGTAAATGTATGTAAAGATTTTAATGTCTGTAAACGTATGTAATGCACATTAGTCATGGGTATTATATATATTCGTGATATAAGTAGTTGGGTATAAAATGGTCAAAATGTATTTAAACAATGTCAGTATCGTTTGTACCTAATTAATTTAATGTGTACACTGAATGTAACGAATGTAACAGCTAGTATATATTGAGTAGCACTAGGTCATCCCATTAAATTGCAAAACAACTAACAACATATGAACATGAGCTTGGCGCCTACGGTAAGGTTGGTTAACTTCCTCAAGAGAGCCAGAAATTTGTCATTCTCATCGGTCTGCGAATCAACCTGCAAGCCAAAGGCTGAGCTGCATATCATATCTAATGTATAAGCCGAACACAACCTGTGTAAATACATAGTACGGACATACATACATACATACATACATACATACATACATACATACATACATACACACACACACACATACACACATACATACATACATGCAAGTATACACAACATGTTTTGTATATTTAAAAAAAAACCAAAACAAACAAACGAACATTCATCAAAACGAATAACGGTCGGTATCACTACTTCATCTCAGCTTTATCATCATCATCATCTTAATATTATTATTCCTAATTATTCCTAATTATTATTATTTATTTGTGTAAACCATATTATCATAATAATGTGTAACAGCCTATCACCAACTTCTGTATATCGATTGATTCCTGAACACCATGCACCCTTTCCAAATGATCAACAAACGCCCTAGAACACGCACTGACCAAAGATAAGCTCTTAAAATTACGAAATAAATAATAATAATAATGATGATGATGATGGTGATGATGATGATGACGATGATGTTGATGATTCATTCATTCGTTCATCCATCCGTCTATAAATTCGATCATTTACTTCAATGCAACTAACATCTTTCAACTTTGAAGTTGAAAAGAATGGACTCAACAACGTTCGAACTCGCTTCCATTCAGTTCCGTGGATATCAATCAAGGAGTATTTAGACCAACCCCTCACGTACATTTTCTTTATTTTATTTAAAAAAAGTTAAATAAATCATGCTGCTGCTGCTGCTACTACTACTACTACTACTACATCTACTACTACTGCTGGTACTACTACTACTGATGTTGCTATTACTACTAATAATAAATAATAAAAATTATAATAACCCTTCGAGCGGAAAATGCGTTTAGGTGATTGTAGAGAACTTTCTTAAGCAATTCCAAATCTTTTGTTACAATAACCGGCGCGTCGAATTCAACCAAACTATAAAATAATTTAATAATAATTGTAATAATAATTGTAATAATAATAATAATATTATTATTATTAATATAATAATAATAATAATAATTATTATTATTATAGTTCTGATGAAGATGAGAATGATATTAAAGGACAAATTCATTAGACAGTAACTTTGCAGTTGAATCCAGTCGTAAGTAAAAGTATAGCTAAGAAAGTTTTCAATTACATCAAGGTTACATTAAGACTCGACACAATTACATTACATTACAATACATTTACAATACAATTACATTACAATACAATACATTTACAATACAATTACATTACAATACAATACATTTACAATACAACTACATCAAAATTACAATTACATTACATTACAATACATTTACAATACAATTATATCAAATTTACATTACATTACAATACATTTACAATACAATTATATCAAATTTACATTACATATATTACAATAAATTTTCAATACAATTACATCAAATTTACATTACATATATTACAATAAATTTTCAATACAATTTCATTACATTTACAATACAATTACATCATAATTACATTACATTACATTTACAATACAATTACATCAAAATTACATTACATTACATTTACATTGTAAACCATTACTCACCCGAATGTCGGTCCGAGTTCATTAACCAGCTTGATGTCATACGCTCCAACCGTCTGTAACGTTGTTTATGATACAAATTATTACAAAAATTATGATGAAGATGATGATAATATAAATCATAATATTATAATCATAATATTATAATCATAATATTATAATCATAATATTATAATCATAATAATTATAATTATAATAATTATAATATTAATCATACTCGTACTCATCGTTTTAAGAATAATGACGTAAAGTACATTAACACATACAATGTACAATGTGTGCGTTAACATTAACAACAACCACACCAACCACAACAACAACCACAACAACAACAAATACAGCAAAATACCCAAATGGTACCCAAATATACCCACGTCATATTTGGCCCCTTCAAATAAGTGACCAACAAAATATTTTCCGCCGCTTGCTATTGGAACGTTGTATGTTGCAAGTACGGCATATGGTCTCCTGGCAAAACTGTTGTTGATGTTGTGGTTATATACGAACGAATAATGTAACCAACCAAAAGATACAAAACAAACAAACATCTACAACATACAAACGTACAACAACAAAATATGCGAGTTAGCTTAGTCGGTAGAAGTACCATTTCTCGAGTTGTTAATACACGATGACCTGGTTCGATTACTGTCTATCTGAAACTCAAAGAAGATGATCACACGCCATGTTTACGTGTGTATCTAAACATGTGGTGTGTATGTGTGTATATACGTCGTGTGGCGAGAACGTTACAGCCACTATGACACGACAGTTTAACTCTCAATGAATGATATGAAAGCAGTTCTGCACATATCAGAGCTACAAAGTTGAATAAGAAAAACCAAACAAACCGCCAAAGATAAACTACAGAAGCCGTGAAAGCAACGGCGACAACAGCCGCGACAAACTGCAGCATGATTAATTAACAATATAAATATAATACACTTTAAAATTTATGTTTTAAAATTTATTTTCCCATACGCATACACAATCCTTATTGATTCGTTTAATTTATATGATAATTTTATTATATATATAAATTTATTTATATTCTTATCATTTTATTGTTTTATTTTCACAAATCTACCCAAAAAATATAGTGGCACACTACACAGTTGTCTCGATATAAAGTACTACCTAAGGGTTTTTCACGTAAAACCAACACATCAAACTGCTGCTTTATTATGATGATTAGTATTATCTACATTACATGTGTGCAATAGCAGTTAAAGCTTATAAGCTTTAACTGCTATTGCACACATATATAAATATATATATATTTTTGTTTACGTATTGCAAATAGGTTATGGCTGGTTTTTATAACCATTCAGAGGTACAGAAAA